TCGAGAGTAAAGCCTCACATTTTGTGCAAAATTTTTTGAACGACTTGAACGACTTTCTTTTTTTTTTTTTTTTTTTGTCACTATGCAGAGCTGCTGCAGTCTTCCCCCGAATACAACGCACAGTCATTATTGCCGAATTTGGTGCACTTTTTGGTCTAAATTCAGCTATAATGACCGTACGTTGTATTCGGGGAAGACTGTAGGGAAGGTGATAAGAGCAGCCTTCCCTAGCAACCTCCTAGTAGCCGCTCCATCTATTGGTGGGGAGCTTCACGTGCTGGAGATCGGGTCCAGCGTCCCTTGAGTACACATTTGAGAACATAGCCATAAGAGAACTTTGGATAAGAATCTTCAAACACTTTGACGGGAGCTCCTCACTCAGCTCCCTTGAGTAATAATCATAGTACTGGCTGAGTAATCCCGCCCATCCCAATAATGCCCTTGGAGCAGCCCTCTCAATTGAACATTGAAACTCACTGAGGGATGAGAAAATAATAAGAGAAACACTGCCTCTTCACCCTTTTTTTCCGGGCGCCAAAAAAACTATCAACCCTAGCAGTGTTGCTCTTGAAAGGTATTTTCCTACTAAGTTTGCCTTTATATTCCATACCAAGAATTGGAAACAAGGGCTGTCTCGGGAGGAGGAAAAGGATCAGGGAATTCCGATAAAGGACGCATGGGCACTGAAGACTCTAAGTAAGAGCCCCTACCTTCCACCCTTCCCCCTTTTTCCTAACCCTTTGCTGAACAAAAAGAGATGGACAAATCCCTGCTGCTGGAAACCGGGTCCAGCATCCCTGTACAGTGTACACCCTGACCCACCGTTTTTTTATGAATGAGGGTCAGGGCCGGGGGCCAGCTTGTACCGCTGCCAGAAACCGGATCCGGCGAATTTGTTGTCTTTCTTGTCTTTTTTTCTTTTCGTCGTTGTTGTATGCATACTTGTACTCGTACTCTTCCTTCGGGCTTTCCTACTTGTCATGTATTCCTGTTCATGTTCCTCCTTGTGCTCTCCCTTCTTGTCTTCCTTTTCATATTTCTTCTTGTCTTCCTTCTTTTTTTTTGAAACAATGGCGGACGGGGCAGGTTTGAGTTCGAATAGGCAAAAAAAACACGAAATGGCACTTCAGGAACGGGCATGGTTGGAAAAGGCAAAAGAAACAGGAGCAAGCAGTAATGTCAGACACCCAGTTCGAAAAAGCGGTAATGACACATACTTCCCTCTTTTTTGAAACAACAGCGGACTCGGCAGGTTTTGAGTTCGAATAGGCAAAAAAAACAGGACTCTTTTTTGAAACAACGGCGGACTCAGCTGGTTTTGAGTTCGAATAGGCAAAAAAAACACGAAATGGCACTGCAGGAACGGGCACAGTTCGAAAAGGCAGAAGCAACAGGAGCAAGCGGTCCTCCGAACCATTGAACAGAGTCTGCTGATGTTCGTAGGGGAGGGGACCTGAGGGGAGGCACATGGATTGGTCCTGTTGGCATGATCCCTGATGCTACCGGCTGTCCCCAAGCCGGTATCACCCACCTGCAGGYCGGGAGCAGCCCCCGCATGTT